TCACGCCGTGCCTTCCGACCACGTTCCCACATGTGAAATATCCAAGGTCACGCCTTGCCAGCTGGAAAAATTCTTGAAAAAAACACAAAGCAGCGCATTTGGTGCTTCACCAGGAACTGTTAGTCATCAGCACTGGGCTGCTGAGAGAGCAATGCCATCAAACACGGGGTGAAGGAAAGGCCACCAAGTCCCTGCTTCCCCCACGAGCGTCACCGGCAGCAGATCATCCCGATCTGGAGGGATGAGAAATGGGGAATTTCTGAAAAGGAAAGAAAGAACAACGCCACTGTGACAGCCTGGAAATGCAGGGGATCCTCCAAGTTATGTCTAGAATAGATAGTGCAGAAAATCACAGAATCACAGATCACTGAGGCTGGAAACGACCTCTGAGGTCATTGAGTCTGACCTGTGACTGATCCCAGCCTTGTCACCAGAGCAGAACACTGAGTGCCACGTCCAGGTGTTCCTTGGACACCTCCAGGGATAGTGATAACCCTCCAGGGATGGTGAAACCCCTCCAGGGATGGTGATACCCCTCCAGGGATGGTGATAACCCTCCAGGGATGGTGAAACCCCTGCAGGGATGGTGATACCCCTGCAGGGATGGTGATAACCCTCCAGGGATGGTGATAACCCTCCAGGGATGGTGATACCCTCCAGGGATGGTGCTACACAATGTCCCTCTGTCCAAAAGCAATGCAGAGACCAAGAAGGCAAAATAAAAAAGTAATAATTCGTGACGTCAAACCTTGCCAAGAGAAGAAAAACCCATTCAATTATCAGGGTGAGCTGCCACCCTGGTCTATCAGGGTGAGCTGCCACCCTGGTCCAGTGATGCGACCCTGAGGACATCCAACCCCAAACCCTGCCCAGGACCGTGTCCAGGACCAACCTTTCCCCATGGCACATTCTGGGAGAAAGCGTTTGCCCACGGGCCTGTGTTTTAGTGCAGAAGCAGCGTTTGCTGCCCCGCTGGTTCTTGTGAACCTGCCACTCTCAGAATTTGGTGGGAGTGGGGTAAAAGCGCACGAATGGCTTTTGAGTAACACGTTCTCCTTCCTGAAGAGATCTTCTTGGCAAAGACAAAAGCTGTTTCCTAAAGGTTCAGCGCTACACCCACGGCCCCCGGACACTCTTTAGGAAAAGGTGTTTTCTTCATTCATGAAGCTCGGTGTAGTAGCGCAGCCACCGCCTTTCCACAGCGCTCAGCACGGCTGAGTCACAGCGAAACTGCACCGTCAAGATCTCTGACGAGGCAGAGGAAACGCAGGTAAACACAGCAGAGAATCGCCCTGCGCACGCCAGAGTTTCCTCTGCGGAACGGGCACGGCTGCCTGACGCTGCTGCCAGCCCCAAAACACAGCCTGGGCTTCCACAACGGGCTGGAGGCGATTGCACAAGAGCCAGAGCGGCCAGGCACGCTCGGGATGTCAGATGTGACCTCATGGAGAGCCAGGGAGGCTCCAAAGAAGAGAAGGTTGGAAATGAGCGCTCAGCTCATGGGCAGGGTGGAAGGAGGCTTCCAACGCCGTGGGGCTGCTCCATCTCCTGCTGTTTCCAGGGTATTTCCACTTGGGTGGATGTTGGGCTGAAGGTTTTTACTGGAAAAGTGATAAAGAGCTGGAATGTTCTGCCCAGGGAGGTGGTGGAGTCAGCATCCCTGGATGTGGTTAAAGAGGGATTGGATGTGGCACTCGGTGCCGTGGTTAATTGAGGTGTTGGGGCTGGGTTGGGCTCGATGATCTCCAAGGTCTCTTCTCTCTGGTCATCCTGTTCTGTTCAAAGCCCCTCTGCCATCTATCCCATAAAAACACCAGCTCCTAAACCCACAGCAGAGGCTCAGCACTGCAGGGAGAGCCTGGGGCTGCATCCTGCCCTGCAGGGAACGGGATTAGCTCCAGGATTTGAGGATCCAGGATCACAAAAACCAACCTCACACATCAGCTTCCATGGCTTGGTGAAGCTCCAGCAGCCATCCAGGTCTTGGCATTAAAGATTTATTGACCCCTGACGGGTTCAAATGAAGCAAAAACATTTCCCTGTGTGGGATGCCAGGGAAAGGCGGGATCCTGCCTGTGGAAATCGAGTTTAAGACAAGTTTTGTCCGAGCTTCCTGCCCTTCTCCTTTCAGATGGATGCTGCTGACAGTCAAGGGGAGAAACCCCACGGCAAGGGGAACAAAAATGGGCCACCAAATATGTGACTCAGGCCATGATTCAGCTGCACTGATGTCCCTGCAGTGATTCCCCGGCAGCAGCTTCCCCATCTCCTCTGGAAGAGGCAATGCCAACAGAAAAAAAGGGAAAATAAATCACAAAATCCCGCACTTTCCCTACCTCAGACTCTCCAGTTGCTGATGTTTCATCCCCTTTGCTCTTACACATGTGCATGCCAAACATTCCTCTCTCCTGCTCCTAAAAATAAAGTGAAAATCTCTCTCTCAGTATGCAGGAACAAACGATACTTTGCATTTTCCCAGCTGTTTTTTTTTTTTTGCCAGCAATAAATTCCCTCTCAGAGGTTCACAAATTCAACTTGAAAGAAGATCAGTGTGATGAAGGAGACAAGAATTTAAGGGATTTGTTCCCTAATGGAGGAAGGCTTCCCTACTGGGCAGAACGAGCTCTTTTAAAATAACATGACGGATTTCAAAGAAAACATCCTGATTTCAGAAAAGCTAAATTTATCTCCCCTCTCACTTTCTTGGATGCCAAATTCCTGAATAAAGAAGTGAAATCTTTATCCCAAGGAAGCAGGGGATGTGGGCTGAAATAGATACAGAAAGAGAGGAGAAAAGAGAGGGAAACGGAAAATCAGGAGACGTCACAGGAATTCTCTGTGGCTCCAAAGGGACAATTTTATCAGAGCTGGGACAATAAGTCCCAGCTAAGACAGGACACGCTGCTGCTTGGATGGGGCTGCTGTCCATTTCTAGGAAACCAAGTAAGATTTAAAAGCCTGGAAACCGAATTTTCTTGACCTGATTGTGCACTTTAACATCAGGCTTCATAGTGGCAGAAATGCTGATCCTGCCCTGGAGGATCCGCAAGGGACCAGAGCAGGGCTGGAATCTTCCAGCTGGGATCCACTGATCCAGCTGATATTTGGGAGCACAAACTGAGCTTGCTGAGCACTGAAAATTCACATTGGCTTCAGATGACATGTGCATTAACTGGAAAAAAAAACCCAAATGAATTAAAAATGAAGATTTCAGATGATGAGTGTTTGCAGATTAGAATGCTGAAGGAAAAGACAGAGAATTTGTACAGATCATGAAAAGCAATTCCGCTGAGTGATGCTCTCTGCAGGTTTGATATTGAGATTTAAAAATAGCAACACTTTTTTTTCCCCCTAATCATGCAACATTTATCTAAAAATAAAAGATGGAACTGTTAGAATAAAGCAACCTCAAGCAGCACCTTGGCTTCTTCATGTATCTCTGCAGCTTTCCTCCTCAGCCACAGCTAAATTTACAAGAAACAAGAAATGTAAAAAAAAAAAAATGCAGAGTCTAAGCACAAAAAATTGATGGGGTGTGAGGAGAGGAGGGGGGTCAAAGAACAGGAAACCCAAGTTGACGGGAACCCGAATGACATTTGGGCTTAATGAATGACTTAAAACCCCAATATTGCTCGTCAGGAAATGGGGAGAGGAAATGGAGTGATGTTTTGAGAGTATAAATTAGGGGCTCCATCAAGGTGAAAGCTGCAGATCTGCTTTGTACCCTCCTGTGGGATCCAACCCAGAGCTGCAGCAGAGGGGAGCAGCCCTTGCCCACAGCATGAGGATCTGCTCCAGGGGCACAGCTGTGCCCATCCTGCTGCTGCTGCTGCTGCTGCTGGGCACCGCGCCCACCCGCGCCCAGCCCTCCTGCCTCCACTTCCCCGAGCTCCTGCCCGCCAGGCTCAGAGAGCTGAGGGTCAAGTTTGAGGAAATTAAGGATTATTTTGTAAGTATCATTAGTTTTGTCTTCTCGTTCTGCCTTTCTTGCAGAGTTCTGGGATCTGGAGGAGGGGGAAGAGCTTCCTCCCAGCAGAAATGGTTTGGTTGCGTTGGGTTTCGGGTGAGCGAGAACAGCTCGGTTTTGCTGCTCACTGAGAGAAAACCTGCCAGGCTTTTCTTCCTAGTTTTAATGACAATGAACTCGAAATTTCATAATGAACCTCTGCAAACCTTCCCCCAAAACAAGCTTCCTCCAAAGCGTTACAAACCGAGGTAATCACTGAATTAATAGGAAGGAAATTGTTTTTTCTTCAGGGGAGCAAGGTCCAGCCCTGCTGAGGTCAGTGCCAGGTGAAAAGGGAAATCTTTTGCTACAGCTTTTTTTCATCTGGAGGAAGCACAAAACCTGCCCAGGGTGTTTCATGAGAGGGGGAGCAGAGCAGTCACTGAACACCTGCAGGTGCCTGTGTAAGGTCCCTGCTCTGCCCCACGGGAGCCTCAGGGCTCACGATGCACTCAGAGCCTCTGCCCTGGCATCAGCGCTCACAGAGGTGCTTGGTCACCGCCCTGGTACTGTTTTACTCCATGCCAATGTGTTTTAGCAATAAAACAAGGTAATTCTCCAGATTTAATCTCAAGATAATGTCACGGCTTGTATTTGTCATAAATACAAACGCAGGCAAGATTTTAGATGTAGAGCTGGCTGTGAATCTCCAAGATAATGTTGGGAAAGAATATTTTTAACCTCTGAGGACTGCTTTTAATCCTTGCAAGCTTTGGGTGGTGCCAGCCCACCCCATCCCACTGCAGCTGGTGCAACAGAGGCACCACGAGAGCAAACTCCCCTTTTCCCATCAACAGGAGACTTCCAGGGCTAACCAAAGCGGGGGGATCGATCCCTCCTGCCCTGGCAGAGAGGCTGGGGTGGCTCCCGGGGGCTGCCAGGACTCTGACACCTCCCTGGAGAGCTGTGCTGGCTGCAGCAGCAGCCTCAGACAGCCCCGGGGAGAGCGAGCAGCTCCAGCTCAGCCCGAGGAGTTTCACATTAACAAATTCAATGGCACTGAAGGTTGTGATTTCATTTTCTTGCTGGCCTGAGCTAACAGCCCTCGTGCTGAGCAGAGTGATTCCTCTGCCCGGTGAGCTCTGCTCACACCTGCACTGGCGCCCTTTGCTGCAGGGAGACCCTAAATGCAAACAAGGGAAGGATCATTTGTTAAAGCAAATGGAAAGAGCTGCCTGAAAAAACTCATTTTTCAATTCCATCCTCCCCCAGCAATCAAAAGATGACGACCTCAGCATCCAACTGCTCAACTCTGACCTGCTGGAGGAATTCAAGGTAAGAATCTCATTCCCTTGCGAGTTCCTCCTCCTTCCCCATCCTCGGGCGGGCGTTTCCTGAGAAGGGGAGCGGGCTGGAAACGGGGACATGTGCTGTGTCACCCAGGCTGGCTGTGCCACCCTGCAGGGACACGTGTGGCCGTGCCGGGGCTCGCACGAGGTTGCCCCGTGGCCAGCTCGGCTCCCACGCCCGGCTCCGCTCTGGTGGCCGTCCCCAACCGGGTCCCCGCTCCTGTCCCCCAGGGGAGCCTCGGCTGCCAGTCGGTGTCGGAGATGATGGGGTTCTACATGGAGGAGGTGCTGCCCAGCGCCATGAGGATCAGCGCTCAGCACCAGCAGAGCATGGGCGACCTGGGCAACCTCCTGCTGAGCCTGAGAGCCACCATGAGGCGCTGTGTGAGTGGGGCTCAGCCGCGCGGGGACACGGCCGGGGCGGGGACACGGAGGAGCAGGGATGTAGGGATTAGGGATGCAGGGATGCAGGGATTAGGGATGTAGGGATGCAGGGATGCAGGGATGCAGGGATGTAGGGATGTAGGGATGCAAGGTTGCAGGGCTGTAGATCTGTAGGGATGCAGGGCTGCAGGGATTAGGGATGCAGGGATGTAGGGATGCAGGGATGCAGGGATTAGGGATGCAGGGATGCAGGGATGCAGGGATGCAGGGATGCAGGGATGCAGGGATGTAGGGATTAGGGATGCAGGGATGCAGGGATGCAGGGATGCAGGGATGCAGGGATGCAGGCAGGGCACTCCAGTACAAGGTTTGTGCTCACATCGGTGCAGGGATGCAGGGATGCAGGGTTTCAGGGTTTCAGGGATTAGGGCTGCAGGGTTTCAGGGCTGCAGGGATGCAGGGATGCAGAGCTGCAGGGATGCAGGAGTGCAAGGATGCAGGCAGGGTGCTCCAGGACAGAGTTTGTGCTCACAGCGATTCAGGGATGCAGGGATTAGGGATGCAGGGATGCAGGGCTGCAGGGATTAGGGATGCAGGGATGCAGCGCTGCAGGGATGCAGGCAGGGCGCTCCAGGGCAGGGTTTGTGCTCACATCGGTTCAGGGCTGATGGTGCAGGGGCACTGCGGGCAGCCAGCCCTGCGGACACGAAGGGAGGCACAAAGGGATCTGTCCCTTACCTGGATGCTGGAGCTGCTGAAGCCTCACCTGGCCGTGAGCCCAGCACTGCAGGCAGACGGGACAAACCGTGTCCCGCACGGGGAGCTGCTGTCCCCAGGGACTGGGGCTGGGGACAAACCGTGTCCCGCACGGGGAGCTGCTGTCCCCAGGGACTGGGGCTGGGGACAAACCGTGTCCCGCACGGGGAGCTGCTGTCCCCGGGGACTGGGGCTGGGGACAGGCTGAGAGCCCGGGCCGGGCTCACTCCGGGCTCTGTCCGTGAGCGCACGGTGCCAACAGCTGGAATTGCTGTGCCCAGGGGGAAGGGGAAGGGGGGAGCAGCAGCCACAAGGGACAGGAGGAGGGGACAGCCACCAGCACACCCTGGGGAGGAACCCCTGGGGCTGAGGCCGCCGCTCGTGTCCCTTTGCAGCACAGATTCTTCACCTGCGAGGAGAGGAGCAGGAGCATGAAGCACATCAAGGACACCTTCGCCAGGGTAAGGCCACGCTCTGGGGCAGAGACAGAACCCGAAAAAACTCTTCAATAATTCCAATTCTCGCAACAGAGGAATCCAGGGAGTGGCGGTTGAGGGGTGGGAATTCTGGAATTCCCAGGGGATTGGGCAGAGACGCTGGAGGTGTCCATGGGAGGAGGATTTGTCCAGGCATTGTCCATCACATATCTGGGACAGGCACACTAAGCACAGCCGGCTTTCCCCTGCAGATGAACACGAACGGAATCTACAAAGCCATGGGAGAGTTTGACATCTTCATCAACTACATCGAGAAATATTTAACAATGAAGAGAAGGAAATGAGAGCATCCCTGGGTCTGCATTTTCCACACCAAATCCTGCTACTTGTTTAAAAATCACTTTAGTCTGCAAGGGTCAAATTAAATTATCTCAAGGTCCAGGTCAAGAGTTACAGGTTAATAACTTCCAGCTCAATATTGTATTTAAGAGTTATTTTTTTAATAGTTGAATTTATTATTTATTACTTCTAATACCTCAGTGTTGATGTTTACAGTATGTTTGGAAGAAAGGAGTGATGAGCTTGTAAATTATTATTTATTGTTCAATATTTTAATATTGTTTATCATAGTGTTATTTTATGCATAGCTTCAGAACACCCAAAGCAGCATTTTTCTGGGGGGCAGACAATGAGCTGAGCTTATCCCAAGTGAATTCCACTCCTGATTAGGAGCAAGGCCAGCTCTGACTTCAACAAAATTTAATTTTAGGCAAATGACCCTCTCCTCATTTCCTACATCTCTATTTATTTATGCAATCAGTGGTTTTGTGTTTGGGAGGAGAAAAAAACCACAGCAACAGCTTGGTTGACTCCAATTTAGACTTCAGCCTGTAGATTAGTCCAGACTAAATTAAAAAAAAATTAATAATAGGAATGAAATGTTTGGTTCTAATAGAACTTAAATATTGCTCAGTATCTGCCTACCAGAGCTGCTGGGTCAGCCACTCTGCACTTTCCAAAGTTAACCTTATTATTTCCCAGTCTCTGATTGGGTTTTACTCTGTGTTTTACTGCTCTTGGTTTTCTTTTAGGAGTTAGAGGATATTTAATTAACCACCATTTTAAGGTGGCTCGGGTAATTTGCATTCAAATCCACGGGGCTGCTCCCAGCACTGCCGATGGTGGGGTTGGATTTTTAATCCCCACGAGCAGCAGGAGCAGCTTCTGTGCCCTAAAAGTGGCTGATTTTAGGGCTCAGCTTCCTCCTCACCCCGGCGGACACTGAGCCAGAGGAAAACGCCACAACCCCAAGAGAGGCTTTTACTTCTAATATTTAGAAGTGGAAGGGCCCCCACCTGATGAAACACTGCCAGTTTGGTGTTTGCTGTGCAAGTCCCAGCTGAGGGGAGGTTATTTATACAGGATTTATTCTTTGTGGACATTTCTGGTGGCAGCCTGCCCGCACGGGAATTGGATATTCCAGAGCAGGGCAGGAATGCTGCTCCGTGGGTCGCTCCTCCTGCTGAAAGTTCAGGCTCAAGGGCAGCCAAAGACTGTAAAACTTAAATTAATCTTCTTACCAGGGCACGTTAAGTTCTCATTGAGACAATTCTGTGCTTGATTTTCCCTCCAAACACCTTCGATGTTGTGGGAGAAGCAAGGAGAGCCCTGGAGCCAAGGACAACATCAGCACGGCTCCTGCCACTGGGTGAACTTTCTCCTATTTATCTGTGTGAAAAGAAATCCTTTATTTTTGCTAATAAAGACTCCCTAATGAATCCAGGCTCTGTGCTGTTCTTGTTGATGGAGCTGTAAATCAGCTCCAGCTCCTGGATGCTGTGCAGGGTGGCCACAGATCCAGGTGGGAAGGACCACCAGGGAGATGCTGCCGGTGTTAACGAGCAGGGAAGTGAGAAAGCCTGAGCTCGGTCACTTTGAAAAGCAAATTTCTCACGAGGTGGCTGTCACTGCTCTCTGACAGCAGGGAAACACCAGGGGAGAGCAGACACACGAGTCATCCACACCGTGTCCTCCGGCAGCATTTTCCCATTGCTGGAGCTCTGCCCACGGCAGTGCCAGGATGCACTGCTTAAAAAAACAGGGAAAAAAGCCCAAATAGCAGCTTGGAGAGCTGGGAGATTCAGGGCACCATCCCAAGTCATCCAGGTGACCTAATTCCAGCCGGAATCCTGGCACCAGCATCGCCCAGCGTCTCTCCAAGCTGCACCCCGACCTGTGCTGGGGGTGGGCAGCAGCTCTGCAGATCCCTTAGGTCCCAGCACCAGCTAAGCCCAAAATATCAGTGTTTTGGGGAAAAAAACAGAATAAAATGCAGCCTTTTTATCCTCCTGCCTCCCCAAAAGCTGCTGTGAGCCTCGGCAGGGCTCCTGAGCCCCCGGTGCTGATGCAGTTCCTGCCAGTGTCAGTGGCAACCTGGGTGGCAGAGATCAAAGGTGGTGGTTTCTGGTTTTGTTATCCCACAGAAGTTGGGTTTCCTTGCTGGGTATCCTCCCCCTGAGAGCGCTGAGGCTCAGCAGCCCCAGTCCCGAGAACCTAAATCACCTCCTGACCTCGGCTGCTCCTGCTCTGCCCCAGGGCTGAGCTTCCCACCAGCCCAAATTCTGCATCTCCCCCTGGAGTTTCTGCTGCCCAGGGGAGCTGCTGCTTCTGCTTCTGCTTCTGCTGCTTCTGCTGCTTCTTTCCTCAAAGCCATAAGCACCCTCTGCTGCACTTGCTGTCAGGAAAGTAATTAACTTTCTTCATCCTCTCCTGCTGGCTCACCATGAGGATGGCAAATCCCAGCTGAACACCAGGGTGGAAGTGTCTCCTGAACACAGCAGGACAGACAGACAGCTGCTGGGGTCAGAGATGAAAGATTTTTTACCTTTATCTGTAATGCCTAACTCTGACACCCAAGAAAGCCCTGAATTTCACATAGCACCATGGAGACAACTGTTAGAGCTGTGAAAAATGAGGTTCACGTAATTTTTATAGAATTTAAAAATTTAATAAAAAAACAATTAGGAGAAAAAAATAAAGTATACAAATACAGCCAGGTGTCTCTGCATTCACCTTACTTAAGGATTGTCCCTTAAAAACAGAATCCTGGTACATATCCATAAATTCTCATCCATATCCATAAATCCTCATACATATCCATAAATTCTCACACATATTCAGACATTCTTCTTAGGATCTTTGCTGTTCTTCTGTTCAGTTTTCTCTTGCCCCCTTCCCAATAGATCAATCTTCTTGAGATTTACATTCCCTGATACCAGAAATGCAATAAATTCCTCCCCCTGCAGAGTTCTGGTCACTGCTGTCTTCATCTGGATAAGATATTTACAAAAGAAAAAAAAAGATCTCCAGCTATTTTTCAGTCTTTGGGTTACACAAACAAAAGTAGTTTTTGTTTTAATGTATTGTCATAGCTTAACATACATGTATTATATCACTATTTCTAAGTTTCATTAATAACAGAAATAAAAAAAGACTATATTATCACAGCTAAATTTTCTAATCTTATACATATAATATTCATTAAAATACTTGCAAAAAGCCAATAATATGATATGCATTTATAACAGAGTTAAGTTGAAAAACTGAAAATGTAAGTGTGTAAATTAGAAAGTCTCTTAGGTGACTGGGTGAAAAAGTTAAAGTTTGGAGTTTAAAGTAGTTTAGAGAGCAGGAGACTTCTTTCTTCTTCATGTTCTTTTCCTAGAGGTTTTTGGGTGGTAGTGAGTGATTGGATAGAGAATGCCACAGTGCAGCACACAGGTGTGGGGTCATTGGGTCAGTAAGAAAAATAACTTAGTTGGTATTTGTTAATTGGGTAAATGGACATAAAAAGACCTTGAAGAGGATCTTTGTTGGCCATTTTACCCCTTTTCTATCATAGTGCACACAGCTCCTTGTACCTTGTAATGCTGATAAGAAAAGAATAAACAACCAAGACCTAACAGAGAAAACTGCCCTCTTTCATCAACCTCAGCTCAAGGGGAGACAGAACCTAACCACGAAATCCATAATGGGACAGACAGACACCTCCTGTCCTGTACTGGGACTGAGGAACCAAACCTCACTGGCCTCTTTCTTGGAACAGGAAAATATTTCTGTCTTGTCATGAGGAAGATGAGCACCTTCTCCATCACCCTTCATCCTCCTGGGGTGCCAGGGACAAGGCTTGAGGTGATACGAGGGACCTTAAGCACGAAAGGAGCAAAATTAAAGCAATTAACTCTGCTATAATGTCTTTTGAACTGCAGAAGCTTTCAGCACTTTCCTCATTTTGTTGCAGTTAACACTTGTCATTTAATTAAAACTGGCTGCACCACTCAGGCCCATGCAGCTCCTGACTCTCTGTGTCCTCGATTTCTGCAGCATGTGACCAAAATTTGGGCTTTTGCTGTGAAAGAGGCCAGGGGGAGCAGCAAAAACAGGGCTGTGAGCAGGTTCTCACCAGGTTCTCACCAGGTTCTCAGCAGGTTCCCAGCAGGTTCCCAGCAGGTTCCCAGCAGGTTCTCACCAGGTTCTCACCAGGTTCTCACCAGGTCCCCAGCAGGTTCTCACCAGGTTCTCACCAGGTTCTCACCAGGATCTCACCAGGATCTCACCAGGTTCTCACCAGGTTCTCACCAGGTTCTCACCAGGTTCCCAGCAAGGTGCCTGGTTTCAGCGAAGCTCCATTCCCACAGGGCCAGGCCGTGCTGCAGCCGAGCTCCTGGCAGCCCCGGAGCTGAGGTTTCACAATGACTCAGGGCTCCCCTGAGAGAAGCAGAGCCCCGGGGGAGCAGCAGTGACAGGAGCAGGCACCGCTGGCTGTCCCCTCTGTGCCGAATCAGTGGAGCCTCACGCAGCCTGGGGCTCTGCACAGGACTCAGATCTGAAACCAAACCCCAGTGAGGCTCATGATCGTGGTTTGGTTTGGAATGAACCCAATGGTTTGGGTTGGAAGGGACTTTATTGATCACATTGTTCCCACCTCTTGCCAGGACACCTTCCACCATCCCAGATTTCTCCAAGCCACATCCAACCTGGTCTTGAATGTTTCCAGGGACAGGGCAGCCACCACCTCTCTCAGCAGCCTATTTCAGTGTTTTACCACCTTCATTTTAAGAAGTTTCTCCCTTATATCAAGTTTAAATCTACCCTGTTTTAAAATGAAAAGCAATTACCCCGTGTTGTCCCAACAAGCTCTCCTGAGATGTTCATCCCCACCTTCCTTAAAAGCCTCCTGTGAGTAGCAGAAGCCCAACAGTGACAGGGTGAGGGCACAGAGCTGCACAAACCCTGAGACATTTGTGAGTCCCACCCCAGCCAGCACTGCATCCAGCTGTGGGTGGCACACAGGCACTGCCACTCCTGGGGAATAAATCTGCTCCCCACCCCTGCCAGACCCTCAGCTGCTGCAATCTGAGACTTCTCTGGGCTTCCTAATGGAAAAGGAGATGGAGATTCCAGGCCATGGTGTAGGGAGAGCGCCTCAGCTGCTCAGGGGTGGTGATGTAGGGGTTTAACATCACCAGTTCTCATTTTCTGCCTTGTGACTGTTGCCTTTGGCCTTTTGGCAGGGTCTCTCCACCATTTCATCACACCCTGAAGCAACCAAACCATCTCCTTTGCTCCAGAGCTGGACTACAAGGTTCCTTTCCTGGCAGTAGCACCAAACTGATTTTTTTCTGAGCTGAAACTCAGTTTCCTGACGCTTTTGCAATGCTGAGCCCAGCTTCAGTGACTGGCACATCTCACACACCCTCTCCACAACCTACTGGGTCTGATTTTCAGAGCACTGAGGAAAAGCTTTGCATTTCCTGGTTGGAAAANTTAGTTTTTACCTTGCCCCCTTCCCAATAGATCAATCTTCTTGAGATTTACATTCCCTGATACCAGAAATGCAATAAATTCCTCCCCCTGCAGAGTTCTGGTCACTGCTGTCTTCATCTGGATAAGATATTTACAAAAGAAAAAAAAAGATCTCCAGCTATTTTTCAGTCTTTGGGTTACACAAACAAAAGTAGTTTTTGTTTTAATGTATTGTCATAGCTTAACATACATGTATTATATCACTATTTCTAAGTTTCATTAATAACAGAAATAAAAAAAGACTATATTATCACAGCTAAATTTTCTAATCTTATACATATAATATTCATTAAAATACTTGCAAAAAGCCAATAATATGATATGCATTTATAACAGAGTTAAGTTGAAAAACTGAAAATGTAAGTGTGTAAATTAGAAAGTCTCTTAGGTGACTGGGTGAAAAAGTTAAAGTTTGGAGTTTAAAGTAGTTTAGAGAGCAGGAGACTTCTTTCTTCTTCATGTTCTTTTCCTAGAGGTTTTTGGGTGGTAGTGAGTGATTGGATAGAGAATGCCACAGTGCAGCACACAGGTGTGGGGTCATTGGGTCAGTAAGAAAAATAACTTAGTTGGTATTTGTTAATTGGGTAAATGGACATAAAAAGACCTTGAAGAGGATCTTTGTTGGCCATTTTACCCCTTTTCTATCATAGTGCACACAGCTCCTTGTACCTTGTAATGCTGATAAGAAAAGAATAAACAACCAAGACCTAACAGAGAAAACTGCCCTCTTTCATCAACCTCAGCTCAAGGGGAGACAGAACCTAACCACGAAATCCATAATGGGACAGACAGACACCTCCTGTCCTGTACTGGGACTGAGGAACCAAACCTCACTGGCCTCTTTCTTGGAACAGGAAAATATTTCTGTCTTGTCATGAGGAAGATGAGCACCTTCTCCAT